ATAGTCAAGTTTGTGGACTTCTCGATTGGTTCACATTTACCTCAATGACAGTCATTTCATCTTTTAATATTGTCAATGCGTTAACCACTTCAGTCTTTTTGTCCATTTTGATGGTCGTCATGATCTGATGACCATCAAGGTCGTCATGATCGTACCCCAAATCCGGCCCTGTGCTTAGTTTCATTAACGGAGCAATCATGCGATACTGTTCAAACGCATGGTTGCTACCAAACGGGACATCCACTTGTTTGTCTGGAAAAGTCCCGTTTGGCTTCGGTAGCTCCCAACTTTGCAAAAGTGCGCTCGGTCTCTCCTGCTTTAGCTTCCGAAGAAGCAACATTAATTATTTCTAAATCAACTAAAAGAATATTTAACTTGTATCGACAATGTTTAACTGTGATATCATTATGGGGTAATTTTTTATGCTACTATTTACTACTTCAACTTACCCCTAACAACTACATAATTCTATTCAAAAATTATAATGAGTTACAACTCAATTTCCAAAACAACTATAGTACAATCGAAAATGCATTATATCTCAAACTATATCTCAATACTAGGTGTTCTTGTATGAAAAGATGACAATTTAAAGAAAGCAGAAAAGGCATTAAAGCCAAAAATCGCCACGGTCAAGGAATGAAGAGATTTGATGCTCGAAAATTGACATTTAAAAGCATGGACCTTGGATTCGTCCAGAATATTTTTAAAAATATCGAATATTTATTTGGCCCTTGAGCCTCCTTAACTCTTCGTCTGTTATAGTTGTGGGTCACCAAATCGGAAGTATATTTCGTTTTTTGGTTTTTGTTTCAGTAGTCACGAGCCAGGTCTCAGAACCATAGAGCATAGATGGAATATGTACTTTCCCTTAAGAACATATAAATAGAACTATTAAATTGATTAGAAAAGTTTTTTTTCTCTGTACAATTAGAGGTCCTTTAAAGTTATACAATGAAACCTTTGTTCAATAGATGCTCTTAAATGGATAAATGGATATCTTTTTCTACTAAGCAATATTGTTTTTCCACAATTTTTATTTTTTTAGGAAATGCGCAAGGTACATTACTCTTAACCGTACAGAATTGCTGGATCAGTTTGGTTTGTGTCCGCTTAAGAAAACATTTACTATATGCCTATTCATTACTTCTGTCGGTGTCTTTTTGTTATTAATATCCATTTTCTACCATTTTTATTTTATAGATGATAACTTTAATTCATAGTTGACTTAATTGCTAATCAATTTATTGAGTCTACAAAAGTAGAACGCAATATGAAGTGGGTCTCATGTTACTCATATTGTATTTTTATATTTTTTAAAATTTTTAAATTCACATCGCTAAAATAATATTTTTATTATTCTAAACGAGCCTCTAAACACAAAGAGGCTCTATTTCCACATAAATATCGCAGAATCATTATTTGATATGGGAACACATATGTTTCCGCATTTCTATTGATAATTTGATGTTGTTTAATAAATTGTAATTAATAGTTTATTTTCGATTTCTATTTGTTTACAGAACCCTAAGAAACTGTTACAAAAATGATTGCAGAGTAGAGAGCATTACGTTATTTCTTAATTAGATTAAAGCATTGTATAAATAAAAAAGACAAACTCATGCCCACAAACCACATCAATTGCATTGGAATTGATGACGGAAAAGGCTGGTCGATTTCGCTTATAGAACGTCAATTAGTCAATTGTGATTATTGATTTCAGTGCACCGTATACTTTGCTTCGCTCCACGAAAAGCCCCTTTTGGCGGTCAATGCTGATAGTGCAGTGGCATTAGACAAATTGTCTCTGTTCTGAGTTCATTTCTATTGATTTGTATTACGAAAAATTTATTTATGAAATGAAATTTATTTTTCTTGACAACACAGAATGCAGAAAAATTGACTAGTCGCTTAATTGAATGATTGAGTAAATATTTTCAAATGATTGCATATTCCAATTAGAGTAGCAGCAGACAATTTTTAATTGTGACAATAAAACTGCTTCATAAAAATATAAAAAGCGGGAACTGGCTTCAATATTTGTTATACAATCCATACTTTAATTGCAGCGCTCAATCCAATTTAATTTATTTCGCTTCAGTACAGCGTAAACGTATTTGTCGTAGGTAAAACGCCTCAAAGTAGACTTTATTAATTTCACTTAATTACTTTGATTTGCGTGCATAAATTGGTGATTCATAATAAAATGTCGGTCTCTTGTTTTTACTTTGGCAATAAAATTATATTTACTCTCTATAATTAATTAACAGAAGTAGCGCAAAATATTTCATTTTGCGGTTAATTAGAGATTTAATTATCCGAAATAAATGAACACAATAAGTTTCATATTTTCATATTTTGAGTATTAAAAGATATTTGAAAATATAATCATATATATTTACGTTTTAGAAGCAGTTTAATTTATTTTGATTTACTAAAAATACTAAAAATTTTATATACGTTTTAGATATATAAAATAGGTATATATACTTGTTTATATATATGCCAGTGTGCTATATGCACAGCATTGGCCTGTGGCCATTATTATCATAACAATTATTTATTCTTATAATAATTTATTTGTAATTGCAATCCCAAAAATTATTTACGAATAATTAAATATATTTCCAAAAACATCACTGATGATGGATATTTGGCAATACTCAAAACAGCTATAGGGTCAAAAACAAAATGCAATTAATTAAAAATAAAAATTTTTGTTATTGCAATTCACTACTGTTCAAAAAATCGCTCTTAAAAAGAATTATTTTGTCATAATTGTCTACACAAATCAAATTTAATAAAAATAATAAATATTATTATTTAACGAAAGCGATATCTGCACTACAGCAATAGAGGGGGAAACAATAAAAAATATCCTCAGTTTAAAGCCTCACATAAAACATTTTCACCATTCAACATATTAACATCCTTCATTATATGCTCTTCATAGAACACATCTAGACAGAATAATTGCTTCTGACAGTGTGATTCTGATTTAACGATATGTTAGTAGAAACAATTTTTGATTCCGATTTACCGATATGTTATTAGAGAACATTTTTTCCACTACATTTCATATTGATATAGCTTACTACTTGAGATATCAAAATTTAAAGTTGCAAATCTTTTTCATTGATTTATCTAACAGAAGCTATATACGTCATTTACCACCAACTATTAAATGCATTAATCAAATGGATTAATAATGGATAAATAATGAATAATAATCAATAATCCATAAATAATAGATTTAAGGTAAGAGAAAGTCGACGGGAATAATAAAGTTTGAAATTTAAAGAACTTTATAGACCATTGTTGAAATCAATGCTGAACTAGTAATGTTTGAAAATTACGCGATCCCAAATAACCTAGTCTAACTTATTAGCAGTTTCTGGAATAACAAAGACTTTAAAGTCAAAATCGAAACCACTGCTCTTCAATAAGGAAAATAGAAGGTGGTGCGAATCTCCCCCTTATATACAATCTTATGCAATTTATATATAGCTGACTTTCTAATTGTTAGCAGAAACACATTATCTTTGTTTGCTGTTGATGCTTGAATTATACACCACGATGAGAACGAGGAGTTTATAGATAAGGGGTAATGTTATATATTAAAAAGTAAAGAATTAACGTAAATACCCAATTTATATGTTAATATCAAAAAACAAATCAATGCCCAAGAAAACTGGGATAAAGTTGGACTAACTTTCGACAAAAACTTATAAGGAAGGAGCACGCCAAGCAAAATAGACTGTATGCAATCTAAAATTTAGAACTTTAAGGCGGGTATGGAGTACTAAAATAAGCTTCAAAAACAAAGTCCTGATATGTAAACAGATAAACACGTCAAGCTTACTGCGTAGCGTTTTACAAAACACCTCTATCTACACTAAACTAAACTAAATCATATCAAAATATAGCTCTAAGAAGATTGTTAAAAGCCCCGTGAGTATTTAAGA